CCCCCCCCGACACTCCTCCACCATCCTTTCATGTGCATCACATACGTTCTCTTCTTTCATTCCAATGCCTCATATTACACAAAGTCTGAACACTGCGGGACAAACCCATAGGAGGGGGATGAAGGATACGGGCTGAATAAATTTTGTTCGTCCACCCAAACCATCGAATCCGGTTCTGATCTGAAAAAGGGGAAAAACAGGAAGTTAATGAAATCCTCAGCAATAAACATCTATACAAGTCACACAGAGTGAAGAGCACCTGTCCTGCAGCAAGAGGCATACAGCTCTGAAGGAGGACGGGGGAGGTGGTGGACGCTGTATTTGGGTTTTCAATGATAAAGTTTTAATTTTAGAAGTATCAGCTTCAAGGAAATGTAAACGGAGTTTGTTCTGCGAAGCATAAACAATTGTCACTTTAAAATCTTTGTATTCGCTCAGTTTCTCGGGGCGGGTTTCCTGATGGTGACATTAGTGGGCCATGCCGGTGTAACATGTAAGTGGCCGTTTCTGCACCATTGGAAGCTGGTGTGACAACGCAGAAGAACAATTGGGGGACATGGACAGAGTGATGTCACCCTAAAGCCGGAAGTGCCTGAGCAAGAACCTTCATGGCGGTATCACCAGTGAAAGTCGTAGATTTATAGGGATTGAGGAGGACGTTTGAAGTGACATTAACACGTTAAAGCCTCGATTAGATTTTAGTGATCTGCGTTACAATGACTTTATTATCCCTTTTAGCATTTATTAGCAGTATTTTTGTTTAGTGTACAGATTAGAGCTGCAGCGAAATGGAAATTCCAAAACCGAAATAAAAAAATTAAATTGTCAGACCGAAACCGAAAGTTTTTTTTATTTTTTTCAGATTTTTAAAATATTTTGTTTTTTTAAAAACTTTTCATATTTATTCATTTTTTATTAAATATTATATATTTTTTTACTTTACTAATATACAGGGGTACAGGTAATATACAGGGGTACAGGTAATATACAGGGGTACAGGTAATATACAGGGGTACAGGTACTCCTAGAATGAGGATGGACTTGATGGACTAATGTCTTTATTCAACCTCAAATACTATGTAACTATGTAACACACACAGTCCTCTATACTGAGTGTTCCTGTTCATTCATAACAAGAGGACAGAGTATGTTTACTATAACCACAATTATGAATGGACAGGAGGATGTAGATGTGATATAGATCACTTCCCATTCATTCATAATTGAGGATATAGTAACCATACTCTGTCCTCAATTATCTACAAACAATCAGCGATCACTCCTTGTACTCGCTCTCCTCTCTGACACGCTGTCACAGGAGGCTGAGCGAGCGGTGCGGGAGGAGAGCTCAGCCTCCTGCGACAGCGAGTGCTGTCTCCGCCCCCACACCGCTCTGCCGGACTGTGATAGGAGGCCGAGCGGTGTTGGAGGGGAGACGCTGGCCGCTCACAGAGCTCGGCCGACTGTCACACTTTCTCTCCTCCCCGCAGGAGATGCACAGGAGAGAAAGCAGGGATGCGCCGATGTATCGGCACAAAAATGGCACTTTCGGCCCATATATCAGTGCATCCCTAGTACAGATCCACTTCACATTCTCCTCCCCGTAGAACTCTTATCAGGGCTTTAATAACTTTTGGATTTACAGTTGGAGTCAGTGACTGACTGGGGAACTCGTCACAAGTTATCAGGGAACACTGGATGTTGTAGCCTGCTGTGAATTGGAGGGAGGTGCTCACCACTCCGGTGTTCCGCTGTGAAGGTAACATACTCCCGACCAGTTTCTTGCGGAGCAGAGAGTTCTGTATAAATGACGGCAACGTCGGTTCATCTTCCTCATCGACGTTTATCTGACCTGGTAAACTCTGAGACACACGAGAGGGTCAGTTCACAAAAAGTATGACACATACAGTATCACTGAATTGATTATTTTTTTTACCAGTCACAGTGTGCGGTGAAATCAGAATAAGCAATTCAGTCCTAGAGAGGAGCCGGTACAACTGGGAAGGCGGGAAAGTCAGATGCAAGACAGCAGGGAAGGGTCAGATGCAAGACCGCAGGGAAGGGTCAGATGCAAGACAGCAGGGAAGGGTCAGATGCAAGACAGCAGGGAAGGGTCAGATGCAAGACCGCAGGGAAGGGTCAGATGCAAGACCGCAGGAGAGGGTCAGATGCAAGACCGCAGGGAAGGGTCAGATGCAAGACCGCAGGGAAGGGTCAGATGCAAGACCGCAGGGAAGGGTCAGATGCAAGACCGCAGGGAAGGGTCAGATGCAAGACCGTGCAGGGAAGGGGGAGATGAAAGACAGCAGGGGAGGGTCAGATGCAAGACAGCAGGGAAGGGTCAGATGCAAGACAGCAGGGAAGGGTCAGATGCAAGACAGCAGGGAAGGGTCAGATGCAAGACCGCAGGGAAGGGTCAGATGCAAGACCGCAGGGAAGGGTCAGATGCAAGACCGCAGGGAAGGCGGGAAGGGTCAGATGCAAGACCACAGGGAAGGCGGAAGGTCAGATACAAGGCCGCAGGGAAGGGGGAGGTCAGATACAAGGCCGCAGGGAAGGGGGAGGGCAGATACAAGGCTGCAGGGAAGGCGGGAGGTCAGATACAAGGCCGCAGGGAAGGCGGGAGGTCAGATACAAGGCCGCAGGGAAGGGTCAGATGCAAGACCGCAGGGAAGGCGGGGAGGTCAGATACAATAAATGAAAATAATCACTTTAGAAAATAAGGATAGTTATGTTGGTCCCTTCGTGTCCCTCATATCAGGCCACTCACCTTTAAGGCTTTGGACGCTTGCAGCATGTTCTTGGCGGCTCTCTTCACCGGGGAACTTTGAGAAGAAGGAAATGAGAAATAAAACCCGAGCTCATGTCAGACACAAACACATCAGACGAAGCTCCGGGACTTACTTGCCCTGATCCAGCTTCAACTTCTTAAAGGGAGCGACTACAGCTTTGGGTGGGTTTGGTTCCGGAGTGTCGATATCAAACGTGAGGTCGAGGTTGATATCTCCGCCCAATGTTGGTGGGCGGAGTTTCGGCCTTTCTAGTCCAATTGGAGCAGGGCTAAAGATACGGAACATGATAGGTTACAATGTGACAAGAGAAGATGCCGCCACTTCCTAACCAGAGAGCGGACCACACAGAGCATCAGATTATCCATCACATGCATGTAAACATTTCATTATCAGAATGAAATGTTGGAGACGAACCTCTCAAATATCAGGCGGCTGAGCGCTTCGTTGGTCGCGGTCGGGGTGCTCAGCGTCTTCTGCAGGAACTCGACCTTTTTTTTCATACTCTGAACAAGAAAACATGAAATCACATAACGGTGACGTGGTGGGAACTTCCTGCTGTGTTCTCTTCTGGTCACCTATAGAGCTGAATTGACCAGAAGCAAAATTGAAAGGCGGGGCAGGCATATGAGGATGACGGCACAGCTCCCCAGCGTAGGAGGGGCAGAGACACAAACTACTGGGGAGATCTCACCATTGTGGGAGGGGCAGAGACACAAACTACTGGAGTACTCTCACCATTGTGGGAGGGGCAGAGACACAAACTACTGGAGTACTCTCACCATTGTGGGAGGGGCAGAGACACAAACTACTGGAGTACTCTCACCATTGTGGGAGGGGCAGAGACACAAACTACTGGAGTACTCTCACCATTGTGGGAGGGGCAGAGACACAAACTACTGGAGTACTCTCACCATTGTGGGAGGGGCAGAGACACAAACTACTGGAGTACTCTCACCATTGTGGGAGGGGCAGAGACACAAACTACTGGAGTACTCTCACCATTGTGGGAGGGGCAGAGACACAAACTACTGGAGTACTCTCACCATTGTGGGAGGGGCAGAGACACAAACTACTGGAGTACTCTCACCATTGTGGGAGGGGCAGAGACACAAACTACTGGAGTACTCTCACCATTGTGGGAGGGGCAGAGACACAAACTACTGGAGTACTCTCACCATTGTGGGAGGGGCAGAGACACAAACTACTGGAGTACTCTCACCATTGTGGGAGGGGCAGAGACACAAACTACTGGAGTACTCTCACCATTGTGGGAGGGGCAGAGACACAAACTACTGGAGTACTCTCACCATTGTGGGAGGGGCAGAGACACAAACTACTGGAGTACTCTCACCATTGTGGGAGGGGCAGAGACACAAACTACTGGAGTACTCTCACCATTGTGGGAGGGGCAGAGACATGGGGTGAGCGTAGGGGGGCGTGCAGCCGTGTAGTCCTAGAGAAGGACAGGGGCTGCGTACTAGTCACACACAGCACCTGTCCCTCCCGGGAGCTGCCTGATGTGGCCCTGCACACAGCAAGGAGCTGTACGTGCGGGCTGATTGTTGTGTGAATGAGGGCTTAAGATGCATGGCACATACGGCCACAGATCAGAACGGGACCAAGAGCTCCTTGCAATGACAGTTTTGAAGTTGTGGTGATACTTTACATTTACAACAACGGTGTACTCCTTGAACCAAACACACGGGGGCGCCACTAAGTCTTACCATAATTTCCTTATCAGCATTTTGCAGCTCCTTCTGAGAGGCACTGAGCTCCTCCCTCATCTTCTCCACCTCCATCTCTGCTTTCTGAGCCTGAAGAGGAAGACATGTTCAGGAGTCTTAAACACATAAAATAGATGATCAATGAAGGAAGCGGGTGATATAATAATCCAGTGAATCTTTACTGACAAGAGGTCAGGAGAGGCAGCCAACATGTTTCGGGCCTTGACTGGTGACCCAAATCAACATTATTTTGCAATTTTTGTCCAGTACTTTCTCCAATTATTGACCGCTTGTGAGCCCGATGAAGGGGGAGTTTTGTTGGCTGGCTCTTCGTGACCTCGTCATGAACAATTTTCACTGGACTCATTGTTGAGATTTGTAGCATTTCACCCTTTCTTCACTACTCCAGAGAAACCACAACCAACCCCCCCCACTCCTCCCTCAGGCACCGCGGCAGCCCGCCCACTCCTCCCTCAGGCACCGCGGCAGCCCGCCCACTCCTCCCTCAGGCACCGCGGCAGCCCGCCCACTCCTCCCTCAGGCACCGCGGCAGCCCGCCCACTACACCGCGGCAGCCTGATGAAGGAACTCCTAATGGTTGCGATAGGTTGCTGTTCACTAGTGATGTCATATGTTTTGTGTCTACAATGCGTCCTCATACACAGGACCTCGGTGTGCAGGTGACAACTTTTACATCTGAACTAGAAACATAACGCGCAGTTTTGTGACGCAATGTTCTGCTGCATCCACATAACAGAGACGCTGCTAAAAAAGTGAGATCATTAAAGACGGACCTTGTGAGTTGCAGCGA